CTGCCTCAGCCTCCCAAGTAGCTGGGACCACAGGTGCCTGCCACAATGCCCAGCTATTTTTTGGTTGCAGCCATCATTGTTGTTTGGCGGGCCGGGCTGGATTTGAACCTGCCATTTTAGGTGTATGTGGCTGGCGCCTTAGCCACTTGAGCCATGGGTCCTGAGCCTCTAGTTTCTTTTTAAGCATCAATCTTGGTACAATTATTATTTTATGTAATTTAGAAAAAATTACAGAAATTTTTAAAAGCACATATATTGGAGGAAATAGAATATATCTACATCTGGCTTCTAGGATCAAAACAAATTCAGATTTGGTTGAATGTTTGAAATGAGATTTAAGAGTATCTTTCTAGCTTAAAGGTTTCAGCAACCCAGAATGGCCACAATCTGCACTCCCACATGCTCTTCTCATGAAATGTGTGTTTGACCTTCCTTCTAGAGATAGTATCTACATTCCCTCATCTTGAAATTGGATCGTTAAAATAAAAAAGAAAGAAATTAAGGAAAGTGAGTTGGCTGGTGAGTTTTGAGACTAGGTCCTAAATAACAATACAGCTTCTGCCTTTTTACCTGAGATGTTCATGTTTAGGACAACAGCACCATAACGTGAGGGAGCCCAAGCCGCCATATGGCAAGTTCACGCATAGGTGCACCATCCAACAAGCCTACTGGAGGTCCAAGACAACAGCTAATAAATACCAAGTGACACAGGACGAGCGGGCCTTCAGATGACTGCAGCCTCCAGCTGCTGAGTCATTTTTAGCCTCTGAGACTTCCCAGCTTAGGCCCTAGGCATTGTGAACAGAAATAAGTTTTCCCCATTATGTCTGCTGCAAATTCCTAACCCATATAAACCATGAGCAAAATAAATAATTTTATTTCTGAGAAGGAATACTAAGAAAGGTGAGTGGGAGGAAAAACCTGGCCTGCTGAACCAGGAAGTCTGGAGGGCCCATAAGAATCTGGGTATGAAGTAACCTAGGTAACCAATGACCAATAGAAAAGGGCAACACAGCTGGAGGTGCAGAAGGGCCAATGGAAGACTTGCAGCCAGTTGCAAATGGAGAGAGTACTCACACCCTGGCAGGGCTTTGGGTCACTGTCTCTCACCCCTTGCTCATGAGAGAGACTCACTTCAACTCTTTGGAAGTGCTCTAAACTTTCTCTTTGTTCCTCCTAAATAAAATTTCTCTTGGTTATACAGCTTGTGCAGCTCTTTTGTTCTCTATTCGCACTGCCTGTGCTGCTCTGATTTTATTTTCAGTTGCCACTCTTTTTTGCTTTCAACTACTGTCATACCTCAGTTGAACTTTCTAGTTCAGGCAAGTAATGGAACCAGGTCAACTGGGTTTGGGTAACCGGGACCTCCAACCTTCAGTAATTTTTTTTTCCATTCCCTTTTTTTTTTTAAGTCGTACATAGATCATAAATACATTTATGCCATTATAGGATTCAATGTGTTGATTATTTGTACAAATTAGAATGCTTACTACCTATTAAACAACATAACCTTCACCACTTTTACCCAATTACAGGTTTAAGACATTTATGTTCTACCCCTGATAGATCCAACTTGTACTTGCAGTATGCTCCATAGGTGAACCTTCAGTAATTTTAAACCACTAAATTTAGGGTGGTTTTTATATATAAAATAGATAATTATGACGACAGTAATCATTAATTTTTCCTGCTTGTTTAGAAACATACTTAAGAAAAAAACAAACTAGAAACAGCCATAGGAAACTTATAGTTAAAAAAATTAAACTTTACCACAAAGGGCATCTAGTAAAAGAATCAAAGAATTTAAAAACTAAAATGTTCAAAAATGCTAATCTATATAGATATTTTTAAAAAGACTTGGAAGTAGATTATCAGGCTAAATGCAACATCACCGCACGGTTTGGATAATGGTTGTGGTTATGAATCATCTATCACCCATTGAAACAAAGGGGAAAACTGATGACAATAAGGTCAACTTTGGAGGCTGCCACAAGAATTTTTTAAGGTTAACCTCCCAATCAAAATTACCTTTAAGCAACCATATATGAAATTTAACATCTACAAAAACCAATGTGTTTTCCTCATCCGCAGCGAGCAACCATCGGCTGTGTCCTTACAGTGGGGTCACAGGTCTGGAGCCTGTGTCAGACACCCATGGCTTTTGGGTGATCCTTCAGGTTCTAGGACGTTTGCTTTCCGACTGTAATCTGCTATGAATTAGTCCTAGGTGGATGTTATTTCTCCTCCTCCTTGGGCTCCGGCCACCCCTAACTGTTGCCGTTTGATGGCCTCTGCATAATGCTTGCACAACCTGGAGATGGTACCTTTCTACAAACATTCATTGCCTTTTGTTGTTCTCTTCCAAAATCAAGTAAGAGTTTATACAGTCCAATTTTGCTCCTTCCAGATCATTTCTAACTATTGACAGTTCTTGGGTATTTTGGGGGTTTAGTGCTCTTCCAAAGATTTATTACAGAAATGGTTTACTGCAGATGATCTTTTCAAAACGTACCACTGCCTGAAGGACAGGATATAAGGGAGGGTCCAAATTTTTGACTCAGTCACATTATTCAAGGCTGGGTCAAATCTTACAGGCATATTTTTTCATCTCTTTTTTTGCAGTTCTTCCTCCTTATTCTCTGAAAAACCCTTTCCCACCAGCTCCAGCTGGGGCTCCTTTTAGAGAGGAACAGGCAGTATCAGTAATAGAGCCTCTTCTTCAATAATCACACCGCCTGATCTGCTTCAAGAACACAGAGCTGTCATGACTTCAGAATTTTATAGCTTCATGCCCAGATCATACAGCTCATTGCACAGCTGCTTTATTAGTTCCCTGCAGGCAGAATCACCAAGCAATGGTCCAGTTCTGGAGTTGCTTTCCAAATACTGGTAGAGATTAGGCACTTTGAGAGGATTCATCAATTTCCTCTCTTCCAGCCAACCCTCCAGGCTTCACAACCTTCTCTAAACTGGGGGATTATTTGTGTCATGTTCTAAGTCCTCCTCATAGGCTTATTTGGATTTCTTAATCCAGTTTAAGAACTTGAATACAGTTGCTCTCTACAAATTTATCAATTAGGTTTTGTATTAGGCTTTTAGACAACTATTTTATAGCCTTCCTCTTAAGCCTCTCCTGGTTGTTCCTTTCTTGACAGGAGGCCAGTGGATGATTTTACCCTCCAGAGCAGTGGTTCTCAACCTTCCTAATGCCGTGACCTTTTAATACAGTTCTTGTGTGTTGAGACCCATAAGTTGAAAACTGCTGCACTAGAGGACATCTGCCAGTGTTGGAAGATACTTTTTTTTCATTTTTCTTTTTAGAAACAAGAGTCTCACTTTGTTGCACAGCAACCTCCAACTCCTGGTGCCCCAGCCTCTCAAGTAGCTGGGACTACAGGCACCTGCCACACGCCCGGCTATATTTTTGTTGCAGTTTGGCCAGGGCCGGGTTCCAACCTGCCACCCTCAGTATATGGGGCTGGCACCTTAGTCACTGAGCCACAGGAGCCACCCACTTTTTTTCTTATTATGGTAAGACACACGTAACATACAATTCACAATTGTAACCATTTTAAAGTACACAATTCACTGGAGTTTAAGACACTCATAATGTCAAGCAATCATCATGACCATCTAGTTCCCCAATATTTCTATCACCCCCAAAGAAAACCCAATGCCGATTAAGCAGTGACTCTCAGCTCCCTTTTCTCTCCACCCTCTGGCAGCTACTAATCTGCCTTTGTCTCTAATGATTTGCCTATTCTGGATATTTCATGTAAGTAGAACAATGTAACATATCACCTTTTCTGTCCAGCTGCTGCTGCTTTTTTTTTTTTTTTTTTGAGACAGACACTTGCTTTGTCACCCCAGCTGGAGTGCAGTGGTGTCACGATAGCTCACTGTAACCTCAAACCCTTATAACTTCTGGGCTCAGATGATCCTCCTGCCTCTGCCTCCCAAGTAGCTGGGACTACAGGTCCCTGACACCATACCCAGCTAATTATTTCTATTTTTAGTAGAAATGGGGTCTCACTCTTGCTCAAACTGCTGACCTCAAGCAATATTCTTGCCTTGGCATCCCAGAGTGCTAGGATTACAGGCATGAGCCACCTGGACCTATAGCTTCCTTAAACTTAGCACGTTTTTCGAGGCTCTTCCATGTTGTAGCATGCATTAGTATTTTATTTTCCTAATTTTTTTTAAAGACAAGGTCTTGCTCTGTCATCCAGGCTGCAGTGCAGTGGTGTAACCACAGCACACTGTAACTCAAACTCCTTGGCTCAAGGGATCTTCCTTCCCTACCTAGGACTATAAGCACCAGCCACCATGCTTGGCTTTTGTATTTTTAACTTTTTATATAGAGGGCTTGTTATGTTGCCCAGGCTGGTCTTGTGAACTCCTGGCCTCAAGCAATCCTCTCACCTTGCCTCCCAGCCCTTTGGCATGAGCTCTGTCACCCAGGCTACAGACCATAGGCATGAGCCACTGAGCTAGGCTCATTTTGTTTTAATGGGTGAATAATGTCTGCTACATGGAAATATCATTTTTTGCTTATCTATTCATCACCTGATGGACATTTTGGTTAATTTGACTTGGACAATGGTAATGGCACCTTGTATACAGAGATCAAGAATGCTGGTCAAACACTGTAGAAATGCCCTTACCATAACAGAAACTCTCCAGTCCCAACGCTAACTGTGCTGAGGCAGAGCCTGCACTAACAGTAGAAATGCTAAGAGACAGCCCTTACCATAACAGAAACTCTCCAGTCCCAACGCTAACCCAGCTGAGGCAGAGCCTGCACTAACAGTAGAAACGCTAACGGACAGCCCTTATCATAACAGAAACTCTCCAGTCCCGACGCTAACCCAGCTGAGGCAGAGCCTGCACTAACAGTAGAAACGCTAACGGACAGCCCTTACCATAACAGAAACTCTCCAGTCCCAACGCTAACCCAGCTGAGGCAGAGCCTGCACTAACAGGAGAAACGCTAAAGGACAGCCCGTAACAAAAACTCTCCAGTCCCGACGGACGCTAACCCAGCTGAGGCAGAGCCTGCATCCTCTGCAGAGCAAGTGCCCTGGGGATCTCGCGGTACAGATTCTGAGCAGTGTATGAATGACTCACCAATGTTAGCAGCAGCAATGTCCTTACTGCCTCCTCTATTTCTGTTTTCCAGAAGCTGCTAGGACTCTGGTTACCTCTCCCATCTTCCTTCCCTGCTTACTGGGTGCTCACCTCTTGAGGGCTGCCTGACGCTCCTATATAAATTTGAAGTATAAACCAGCACTTTTGCTCTAGACAGCTGGCACTAATCTCAGGAACTGTTCTCTTGGGTCCCAGGATTTGGCTCCTGCCACAGGATTTGAACTCTTTCATAACGGCAAAATTTATACACACTGAGCTTTTAATATGAAGTAGAACAAATTCTAAACATATTACATATATATAGTCATATACACTTGGTGTTCTTATCTTTAGAGATAATTGTTAAATATCTTCCTCAAGGTTATGTGGTTTGTAAATTGCTGGAAGGACTTCAAAATCAGATCTAATTCTCAGCCAAAATGCTACACTCTAGGCATTTATGACATCTGACTAAATATCACAATGACTGCAGAAGGGAACCTCATATAAAGTCTTAAAGCCTGGGTCTACTGAGAACAATCCTGGTAAACGTCACTTAGTCTGAAAGTAATCACTTAGCAAAGTGCTTCAGTTGCTTTTAATCCATTATTTGCAATGGGTAAGCAAAAATGTCCAAAATAGCTAAGAAGAGCAGAAACTTCAAAAGAAAAACAAAACCATATTAACAGCAGAAGCAGGGTCCTTCCTAGAGAATCCTCACTCTAACACCACTGGGAACTCTTGGGGAGCTGGAAGTTGGACCTCAAATTGGGAGCTTGCTGTGGTATCTTTCTCTTTGCATAACCACCTTCATAACTTTCACTATTCTCTGCCATTAAAGAACTGTGTATCTTCTGTGTGTGTTGAGGTCTGTCCCTCACTCAAACCATGACCTTGGTTCGGCGCCTGTGGCTCAATCGGCTAAGGCGCCAGCCACATACACCTAAGGTGGCGGGTTCGAATCCCCAGCCCGGGCCCGCCAAACAACAATGATGGCTGCAACCAAAAAATGGCCGGGTATTGTGGCGGGCACCTGTAGTCCCAGCTACTCAGGAGGCTGAGGCAGGAGACTCGCTTGAGCCCAGGAGTTGGAGGCTGCTGTGAGCTGTGAGGCCATGGCACTCTACCCAGGGGGATAGCTTGAGGCTCCGTCTCAAAAAAAAAAAAAAAAACCATGACCTTGCTGTAACTAGGCAGAAAGCAAATTTCTGAAAGCTAGAACTGTGTCTCATTTATTCTTATATTGCACACAGTATCTTACACATAAAAGCCAAAAAGTTTGTTAAATAAAATTCTGCAAGTATCTTAGTGCCGTTTGTCATCTAAACACACAAATTTAGTACTTTTCACGAAGCAGATATCTAGAGTGTCCAAACTAGTTATGAGTATATTATCTCAATTATCTCAGAAGCAATTTACAACCTATGAAAAGGTGGCCTAGTCCTGTAAAATTGCATTGCCCTAGATTATACATGTTTCCCTCTTTGGAAACGACCATATGAAAGATGAAATCAGACATAAGCAGTAATATGGTACTAATTTCACATTTGCTTACACACTCCTTCATGGCCTCATGGTAATACATTAGAAGTTCAGAAGCTATATGACAAAGACACAACTACAAAAATTATCAAAGAAAAAAGATTCAAATGATTAGTTCTGAGTCAACAGCAGAGGCAAGATTTGAATTCTGCTACTAATAACTTTGTAGTACGTAATGCCATATTTAGGTTAACCTATTATGCAGTAGGGCAGCTAACTCAGTAGAAACCTTTCATCAACCAGTGAGAATGTCCATGATACTTAAGAAGAGCAGAAACTTCAAAAGAAAAACAAAACCAGATTAACAGCAGGAGCAGTGTCTTTCCTAGAGAATCCTCCCTCGAAGGAGGCAAAAAAAGCTTTCTTTGCCCTGTAGCAGAGTGATTTATAACAAAGAGATGCATTAATTTTCTATCACTAAACTTCCTAACCTGTTCTGTTATGCTTAAGATATGACACCTAGCCATGAAAGTTCTTTCTTCAGGCGCGGCGCCTGTAGCTCAGCGGCTAGGGCACTGGACACATACACTGGGGCTAGTGGGTTTGCCTGCCAAATAACAAGTACAACAAAAAAATAGCCAGGCATTGTGTAGTCCCAGCTACTTGGGAGGCTGAGGCAAGAGACTCTCTTAAGCCCAGGAGTTTGAGGTTGCTATGAGCTGTGATGCCACAGCACTCTAACGGGGGAAAAAAACAAACAAAAAAAAATGGCGGTGCTCTGTGGGCAGGGTACCCGCCACATACAGGGAGGCTGGTGGGTTAGAACCCAGCCCAGGCCAGCTAAAACAATGACAACTGTAACAACAACAAAAATAGGTGTTGGGCAGCGCCTGTGGCTCAAAGGAGTAGGGCACCAGCCCCATGAGCCGGATGTGGCAGGTTCAAAGCCAGCCCCGCCCAAAAACTGCCCCAAAAAGGGGGGGAGGGGAAGCCAGGTGTTCTGGTAGGCACCTATAGTCCTAACTACTTGGGAGGCTGAGGCAAGAGAACTGCTTGAGCCCAAGAATCTAAGGTTGCTGTTCCATGCTGTTTTGGTTCATGAAGGCCAAGCTAATGCTGGGCACTACTGGGTGTACATTTTTGATCATCATGCAAACAGGTGGATGAAGTATAATGATGTTGCTGTGACAAAATCATCCTGGGAGGAACCAGTGAGGGACTCTTGGTGGTTATAGAAATGCCAGTGCATATATTTAACGTACATAAATGATAAGGCACAATTCGTAATACGAAAGGAGTTTAGTTAAGAAACTGGACAGGCTCGTGTTGGAATAGAAACCTTGCTACCAGATTTGAGAGATTTTGTTGAGGAAGACAACCAATCATTTGAAAAAGAACTAGAGGAATGGGATGCACAACTTGCCCAGAAGGCGTAAGCTCGTAAAAGCTTTTAGCAGCTCAGAAATTGAGGAAGTCAGAGTCTTCTGTGATAACAGCATAAGCAGGAGAATCAGAATATCTAGAGCAGCCATCAAGAAGTGATTTCTCACAGCACTTGAAGGAAGACACTATTCAAATAATTAACAAGGTTTCCCATGAGCGTGAAGATAAAAAAGTCCTGAAACAGTTTTACAGTCAGCAATGAAGTGGGAGTATTCAAGGCTGGTTAAGTTGGCCCAAGAAGACACCCCCACCAGAAACAGATTATCGTTTACATCATGAAGTTGTCTACTTTATCCAGAACCAGGCACCAAAGAAAATCCTTGGGAAACATTGCTAGAACAACCTGCAGAGATTTGAGTTCTGATGAAAGGTGTCACAACATAAGGAAAAGTGCTCAAGCCAAACTGGAAATGATAAAACCTCAAGAAATAAACGTGCAGGAACACGAGGAACGGCCTCAGGGTTATAGGAAATTCAGGGAAACAACTATGTATCTCATAATAGGCTAGAAAACTTTCAAAGAGAAAGTTATATAGATTCTTTGCTGCTCCTTTGCTGGGCCACGGCACTCTACCCAAGTGACAGCTTGAGACTCTGTCTCAAAAAAAAAAAGTTCTAATAATAATACTTTCCACAAAATTTTGATTTTCCTGAAACAAAGCATCTAAATAAAAAACAACAGCATGATACTTTATTTGTAGTATTTATAAATCAAAATTGATAATAATCAATATTCTATATGGAAAGCTTTCATTATATAGTACCATGTTATGACTTACAGCCTCTTAATGCTGCTCTAAATTTTCTTTTTATCTATATTATTTCAAATTCTGCTGATGTGAAAACTCTACTTACTTCTTCATTTTGAGGGGTTGGAGGAGGTCTTTCTAAATCCAGAAAATCCAGCGGTCTTTCACTTAGCGTAAGTACACGAGGTGGTGTTTTTAGTGCTAGAGGTTTTAAGGGAGTTGACTGAATAAGGTCAAGGTCTGCTGGTCTTGAAAATGAAATGTCCTCATTATTTCCTAAAAGTAAAAGAGGGAAGAGAGGAAGGAAAAGAAGGTTTTAAAAAGATTGTCATTTTGTTAAAATGTATTTACTATCTCCCACTTTTGAATTATAACCTACCCAATAAGCATTAGTTTCTTTAAAAATAAACTTTCAGCATAATATTTGACATTTCACTAATATCTAATATTGTGGTGCAGAAATGATAAAAAATTATGCAATACATAATACACAACAAAAAACTGGTACCGGCTCAGCGCCTGTGGCTCAAGTGGCTAAGGCGCCAGCCACGTACACCCAAGGTGGCGGGTTCGAATCCAGCCCGGGCCGCCAAAACAACAATGACAGCTGCAACCAAACAATTGCCGGGCGTTGTGGCAGGCGCCTGTGGTCCCAGCTACTTGGGAGGCTGAGGCAGGAGACTCGCTTGAGCCCAGGAGTTGGAGGTTGCTGTGAGCTGAAATGCCATGGCACTCTACCCAGGGGGACAGCTTGAGGCTACTATTTCAAAAATAAAAAACTGGTACCCAGAATATATTCAAATTTTTTTAAAAACACCCAATTTTTCAAACTAACAAAACCTCTGAATAGATACTTCACAAAAAAAATAGACAAATGGCCAAAAAGCACAAAGTTAAAAACTACTGACAACAAGGAAATAGAATTAAAATTATGAGATGCCGCCACACACCTATTCAAACAGCTAAAATCATAAAGACTAACAATACAAAATGTTGGCAAGGATATGGAGCAGGTGAAACTCTCATACATGTAACACAAGAATGTTACACAGTACAACAATCTGGAAAATAGCCTGGCAGGTTTTCAAAAAATTAAACATAACTTATAATGGGATCCAGCAATTTCACTCCTAAAGATAGGAAAACATGTATCCTCACAAAGGCCTGTAAATGAATATACACAGTATCCTTTCTTTAAAAACCTCAAACAAGAAACACCACAGATGTCCATCAATAAATGAATAAATGAATTAAGGTATATCCATACAGTGAAATAAAACTCAGCAATGAAATGGAATGAGCCGTTAATATGTGTGACAACATGGAAGAATCTCAAAAACATTACACTAAACAAAAGAAGCCAGAAAAATGAGCACCACCTCTAGGATTCCATTCACATGAAACTCCAGGAAAGACAAATTTAGTCTCTGGTTACAGGAAGGAAATTATGGTTGTCTAGAGTTGTGACATAAGGACTGATTGAGAAGGGGCCTAAGAGAACTTTCTAGGGGTAACAAAAATGTTCTATAGCTGGACTATGGTGGTTATGTGTATAAAGACATTTGTTAAAAATCAAGTGTAAGCTTGTGTATAAAGACATTTGTTAAAAATCAAGTGTAGGCTCGGCGCCTGTGGCTCAGGTGGCTAAGGCGCCAGCCACGTACACCCAAGGTGGCGGGTTTGAATCCAGCCCTGGGCCCCGCCAAACAACAATGACGGCTGCAACCAAAAAATAGCCGGGTGTTGTGGCGGGTGCCTGTGGTCCCAGCTACTCAGGAGGCTGAGGCAGGAGACTCACTTGAGCCCAGGAGTTGGAGGTTGCTGTGAGCTGTGATGCCACAGCAGTCTACCCAGGGGGACAGCTTGAGGCTTCTGTCTCAAAAAAAAAAAAAAAAAAAAATCAAGTGTATACAGTCAGGCAAGGTGGCGCACACCTATAGTCCTAGCACACTGGGAGGCCAAGAAAAATGGGATTACTTAAGCTCAGGAGTTTGAGACCGGCCTGACCAACAGCGAGACCCCCTGTCTTAGAAATTAGAAATGATGGAGGGATTACTTCTGAGGTTTATCTTACAAGGGTACAAGTGAACCTTTCTAAGAGTAGAATGTGAACGTTTTAAAACAATAACTAAGAAAATGACATGAAGGCTATGTTAACCAGTTTGATGGAAGTGTTGCAGATTCTGTGTGAAAACCCCACACTGTACTCCAGAAGCGCATTAATGTACAGAGTTACCATTCAATAAAAAAAAAAAAAGGAAAAAAAAAATTAGAAACGATGAGGAAAGAGGATTGCTTGAGCCCAGGAGTCTGAGGTTGCTGTGACCTATGACACTATGGCACTCTACCCAGGGCAAGAGAGTAAAACTCTGTCTCAAAAAAAAAAAGAAAAAAGTATAGGCTTAAAAATGTACATGTAGTATGTTTTACATGAGTAAAATCTCAATAGTTAGATTATTAAAAAATAATGTTAGAGCCGGGAGCAGTAGCTCACAGCTATAACCCAGCACTTTGGGAGACCAAGGCGAGAGGATCCCTTGAGCCCACGAGTTCAAGGCTGTACTGAAGTATGATTAGGTCACTGTGCCAAGCTATACAACAAAGCAAAACTGGTCTTTAAAAAAAAATACTGTCTGAAATTCAGACTATTATGATGAGTAAAAATTTCAAGAAAGGGAAAGTGGGGGTTCCTATCCCCCTTCTTGATACTATTTTAAAACCTAAACGTTTTCACAAAAATATATAAAACAAAGATTTAGAGGCAATTTTCTGAACACATGGGCAATACCTGCCACGACAATCCTCTCTGGAACCTGCATTATCACGCTAGCGTTTGGAGCTCCTTCTTGGAATCCTGGCTCCAGGTCAGCATTTGGTGGTGCTACTTTTAACTTTTCTGGGACCCTCATTCGCTGACTAATACCTTCAGTATATTCCATTTCATACTGAATTCGACTAATTTCCGCCATCTCAGCAGCAGTGGGAGAAGGAAATGCAGCACTCACCCTGTGGGAGGAAAATTTAAAGACAAGTATGACTGAGTAACAGAAGGGCCGGTCTCCTCCAATAGTGAAGTTAGAAGACATTATCTTACAGAAAGAGCAAAAGGAAACTTCTGACTTGCAAGTACTGAATACATACAAAGGAAAAGTAGACTGAAGAAAATGCCTTCCTCAACAAAACGCCTTTTACTATCAGCTAAAATTGCACATAAAGATACTGCTTAGGAGCAGATTTTAAAAATTACTTTATAATCACATATAAAATGTGTATAAGTCACATGTATTCTCTCTGCATAAACAAATGTACATGGTATTTATTATTCAACAATGTCCGAGATAAAATTTAAATTACAATTTTAATTTAAACTCCAACTCTATAAAAATAAAATTGGAAATTGCTGTCATACATGAAAAAACCCTTAAGTGAGAAAAACCAAATCACAAAGTAAAGATTCTGAATTTACTAAAAAAATGATACAGCCCCCTGAAAATCATACCACATCAATTAAAACTCTTACTGAATAGGGATCTAATGACTGAGATGCAATGAATACCAAATATAAAATTTGTATTAATAAATTCTAATGTATGAATTCATTCTGGGGAGGGAGTGAAAGTTTTACAATATTAATTTATTATCTAATGCCATTATTTAATGTATATTTTGCAAAAGTATCACATCTTTAAAAAGAAAGAGAGTGTGAATATATTGAGTAACCTTCCAAGTTGTAGATGGATCCATAATCCCAGGGAAGTGCAATAGGAACAATGTTGCCCCCAAATAAAAAAAATGCCAAAAAAACTGTGAAAGAGCATGACTAGCCTATGGTCATCAGCTGTAAAGCCACTGTCTCCCAAAGCTTTAATGCCAGCTCAACTAAGTAAAATTTCACTGACCTTCCTAGTGGTGTGTCACTGCTTGTTCTTTTACTCATATTAATACAGTAAGTACACGTCTACAAGAGCTATCAAAATACTGCTACCCTGTAGTTCAGTTTACTTTACACAACAATTCCCCTACAGATCTGAACTGTTTTTTGGAGATGTACATAACAACACGGACACTGCTTTTCCAGCTGTAAAAAAGAAAGAATAAAAATCAGTATTTCAACAATTCATTTCATAAGAAAACTATGAATAAAAGTAAATATCTACTTAAAATTATTTTTGGACTTGAATATGGCTTGGTCTGAGAAAATCAGACACATCTCTCCTGAGTTATTCTAGACCAGCAGTTCTCAACCCGTGAGTCTCTACCCACAGGAACCGCATTAGGAAGGTTGAGAACCACTGTTCTAGACCTTGAAAATCATAAAGATGGATTTAAGCACAGTCTGTTTTATAATTCTGCAAACAGGACAATGAAAAGGTATATCAAATGTACATACAAACATGAAGTTATTAATAGATTAGGGAAAAAACAACACTGCCATAAAAACTCTTCTAATCATTATATTCTGAAAAGCACTAAGTAAAAATGAAGAAATTACGAAGAGAATGCAAAGGGTAAAAAGCAAATATATTTGTGACATGGTTTCTTTAAAAGGAAATAAATTTCAATACCAAATTACACTAAATTTTCAGCAAAAGGAATTATATATAATATAAAGGCAACATAAAAAATTAAAGACAGCAGACATGTCTTTATGGTAGGTAAGATATTTCCTAAGCACCAAGTCAGGACGTATTCCACATTTTGACCTCTGCCTCACCGCCAGGCTTAGGAGAGTTCTTCAAGGTTGGGTATTTTGTTAAGTCCAGACAACTGTTTTGATAATGACAGCTAACTAGTTTCTTTTGTCCTTTATCAGAATGTGGTTAAGTCCAGACAACTGTTTTGATAATGACTGCTAACTAGTTTCTTTTTGTCCTTTATCAGAATGTCTTTGGGGACATAAATCTTTAAGCTTAGATCTGGCACGCAGATGATTTAAAGACTAAGAAAATAGAGCCAAAAGAGAAAATTTTTACTCACAAATGTGTACCAACTACTGCTTGCTATGTTGCACTATCTGCTTCTGTGCTTCATATTACATCCTTTAACTTGCTTCAATGTGCATGTGCTGGATTTAGAGCCACTTTTGTCCCTGGGGGAGAAAAACGGGCCAATTGAGAAACTAGATGATACCCATATTAGGGTTCATTGCTGGGAATTCTCCAAATAGTCTAATAGTTAACAAAGATATATAACCTCTCATTAAGACACCAATAAAAGAATAAAGAAAGAAAAAATTAAGCTTACCACCCACCTTAGTCCTACAGATGGACCCTATGATGATTTATCAGGTAAGGCAATACATGATAAAAAACTAACTCTGATTTTATTCCTACATTATATTTAGAAAAATGTAAAATATGAAAAATACATAAGCATAAAGGAATTTAATACTTATGGGCATATATACATATACACACATATATATTGAGGAACAAATGCATTAAATTTCATTTACCTAAAATGTTTTTAATCTTGAACTAGTAATGCACGTACACAGTACAAAATACATAAGAATATACAGAAAAAATGAAGTGTCCCACCAATTCGATCTTTAACCACCCAGGTCCCCACAGGCAACATCTATAATCAATTTTGGTACATCATTCTAGATGAGCTTGCTCCTCTAACACTTGTGTGTATCTAAACGATAGTAAAAGCTCATATTTTTTTGCAAAAAATAAAAAAAAATTGAAAAGGGCTATGTCAAAAGATTATAGCCTTGGAATATTATAAATTGAAATTTTATAAACAAGAGAAACAAGTTCCTAGAACCACATTATCTCCCTGAAATGTGCTATTCTCCGCATTCCATTCATTGCATTTTAGTCTCCTTAATATCCATCAGTACATCTCATGGTCCCAACATTCCTTCTATAGCAACTCATCAGCTATAGATATTTTCCTACAAGGATCTCTGAGTTTGTCAAGAATCATTGACTTAGAACATAAAGGTGGTCACTGAAAAGACAACTTCCGGGAAAAACCAAATTCACCAGTAGCTGAACTACTTAAAATTAAAAAATAAATGGAAACTTCCTCTTAAGACTTAACACCGTACTGTCCCCAATTATCGGGTTTTCTCCTTAAGTAAAATAGATCAAACTCCCTAATTTTTTTCTCCCCCATTAGACTACGGAAGTTTTGGCAATAAATAAATAAAACTTCTCATTTGGGGTTGAGCCTATGTTTTGCCACTTAGAATCTAGTTAGCAACCAGTAGATGATTCTCCATTACATAACTAATGAGACAAGATTTCTCTTAAAATCAAAGATGACTTCAGATCTCTACCTTTCTAAGCCCAATGGTTCCCACACATAAGTAGCTAACTTACTTCATGCTTTTTACTATACTCACAGAGTACATTGATTCTTAGCTATACACTTAATTTTTCCTTAACTCGACTTTGAAAAAATGTTAAACATATTTTAAAAGGAAATTTTACATCACTACCATAAGCCATAAACTTGACATAGATAAATCCACATAAAAACACAGCTATTATAAGAGACTCTCATTCACATATCAACTAGCGTCAACTCACATCTCACTGCTGGAATAGTGCACCACATACCAATCTGAGGACTCAATGATTCAAGCCCAGCCTTTTCATTTTCTATTTAAAAACACTATAACTGGGAATACCTTGGAAGTCACAGAAACAGGTTCAAACTGATTATGGTTGCAAAGATTTTACCTAATTCTCCAATAACAACAACAAAATCGCCAGTTTTTTTGTTTTGTTTTTTATTTTTTTGAGACAGAATTTCACTCTTTTGCCCAGGGTAGAATGCTATGGCGTCACAGCTCACAGTAACCTCAAACTCTTGGGCTCAGATGATCCTGCCTCAGCCTCCCTGTTAGCTGGGACTACAGGCACCCACCACGTGGCCCGGCTATTTTTAGAGACAGGGTCCGGCTCTTGCTCAGGCTGGTTTCAAACCTGTGAGATCAGGCAATTCACCTGCCTCAGTCTCCCAGAAAATCTTGAGTTCTTTATTCTTTACATCACTTACTGTGGTGTATCTAGTTCAAAAATTTTATAGAGGTCGCCTTGTTTCAGTTCTCTTTCCAAGCAAAAACACTCAAGAAGTCAAGCAAACTTAGAAAAATATGTAATTAACGAACTTTAAAATAAAGTTATGCACCTACGGAAAAGTTACAACACAGAAGATGGTCATCTTAAAAGGAGGCAGCTCTATCAGACTGGAAGGGAGAGAACACAATTTCCTTTCGGAAAGAACAGCAAAACCAAATCACGAGCTTTTGGAAACAAAAAGACAGCAGGGCCTCAAACAATTTAATTGCAAGGGAAAAAACTACCGACTACAACTAAATCTTCCTAAATTTCCTACACGTTTTCTTTTGGGATCTCAATTAACCAATGAAATTGAGGCATAAACAAATTTTTTCACCTAGGGAGAGAAAACATGCAAGATCCTTCAAAGTCTCCCCAGTGGACGAGAGGCCTGAATACAAACGGTTCTATACTGGGGCACAACCCCCACCCCGAGCCCCAACCCCCACCCCGAGCCCCGTGAACGTTTGCTTTATTATTTTTTTAATCTTCCGCAATTAAAAGACGCACTTTTGAAAGGCTGCTCTTCCTTTGAGAATGCCCCTGCACTAACTTCTTGGGACGCAGCCCGAGCTTTCCTTTAACCCCAGGAGGACTCATCCTGCAGACCAAGGTCAGAGGCTCTTTCTTCCACCTTCCCAGTTCCCGGGAAGAAACCTAAGTAGCAATTGCTTCCATCCGCACTTGGGAGCCAAGGATGCTTGCAGGCCGACAGGAGTCTCCCTGGTGGCCGGCTTGTCACCCGCGGATGCCATAACCTGGGCTTCCTAATGAGGCCTTTCTTTTTGAATGCGTATCTTTCACAAGAACAAAACAAAAACCTACTTTTAAAACGGCAGGCTTAAGGGTATACTGGAAGGTGTGCCGGCCATGAAGGAGGACTGAAGATGACCAGCAAAGCTCGGGGTTCAAGCACACAGAACTTTGCTACCGTTTCCCAATCCCCTATTTTCTTGTCGGAAAAGTCCGAATTAAACCACAAAATGAGAGGCCGAACTACAAAGGGTAAAGAAGTCAGCTCAAAAACATTGCAGGACGGTGCTTCTCTCCCTCGCTCTCCACGGGGACCGAGAGGGCGGCAAGGTTCCCAGGAAGAGGAAGGGCGAGAGGCCCGGGGGATGGGACGGGACTCCGGCCAGCGCGTCACCACCGACGAGCCAGGACCACTGCGTGTCCCTGCCGTCAGCGGAGGGTCGCGGCGGTGGCGCTAGGCCCGGCGGCCAGCTGGGGCCGCGCGTCCGGGTCGGGAAGACGTCAGCACTCACCCCTAGGCCCACTGGAGGGTCGCGGGCGAGGGCCGCCGCCCGCCGGCTCCCGGGGCGCTCTCTCAGGCCGTTGGCCGAGCCACCGAGGCGCCCAGGCAAAACCGGCGGAGCGGCCCGCAGCTGGCCGGGAGAGACGCGAGAACGCCCAGAAATGGTCCCTTCCAGGAGCCGTAACGGAAGCCGATTCGTGGTCATGTGACTCCGGGAAGGGCGGACGTGCGCCTTGCGCACGGGAGCGGACACCGGGGGACGGCCTTACGGAGACATATTTGTTGTGGGCAAAGTTCGCAGTCTAAGGGTAACATCTCCGCGGTACTTAGACTGGATTCCTGTTTAGGCTTTGTTAAGAGTTCGTGGTCTTTGAAAACTTCCTGTTTGCCAGGTAAACCTTCGGTGGCTAGTTAAAACAAGCCATCTTGTTTTTTTCTGGGCCATCTACATCAAAATTTCCATGGCCAAGCCTAAGAATCCTTGTAATTAACCAGTTCCCCTTGTGATTCATCATGCATCCCAAACCCTTTAAGCCCTCTAATTATCAGACATTGTTTTTACAAGGGGAGAATCTGAAAGGAGGGGAAGTTATGTATAACAGTAGTTGGCCGCCTTTTTAGCTTCTAGAAAGTTCTCTCTGGGTCCAAGCCCTTAACTCCTGACGCTCCCCTGTGGAATCTAGGGACAGAGGGAGGCCAAAGAACAGAATAATTTATATGCCTCTGTTTCTTTTTCGTTTGTTCGTTTTTTGAGACAGAATTTCACTCTGTCACTTTGGGTACAGTACTGTGGTGTCATAGCTCACAGCAACCTCAAATTCTTGAGCTCAGGGGATCCTTGCCTCAGCCTCCCAAGGTAGCTGGGACTACAGGCAGGCACTCGCCACAATGCCATGCTCTTTTTTTAGACATGAGGTCTCGTTCTTGCTCAGGCTGATCTCAAACTTCTGAGCTCAGGCAGTCCATCCGATTGGGCCTCCCAGAGTGCTGGGATTACAGGCGTGAGCCACCATGGCCGGCCTAGGGCTCTGTTTTTATAAACAAGCAAACAAAGATATACACCTGAATTATGTACTCCTCTAGAATCTAAATATAGTCCATTGATGTTGTCATTCTTCAAAGTATAATAATTTGGGAAGCCCCCTGAATTGCGTTCTTGAGCCCCTTCTTCATAGTGGTATAGAAAAGTAAAATAGTCTATATCCTCTACCCTCTTGGGATCTAAGCTGGACCTGAGAATTAAACAGTCATAAAACGGATTAACAGGAGGAAAGCATACAAATTTGATTTAGTAATTTTTACATTATGCTAGAGCTTTCACTTCACAAATGAAGATCCAAAGAAGAAGTAAGGCTCCAAAGCTTATATAATAGGTTGGACAAAGAGTAGTAAATTGCTAAAATATGAAAATAAAACAAAGGGCTTTGAATTAGGGCAGTTAATGGTTAGAAGTGCTAGGAAGATAAGGGTTAGTTTAACAAAGGTGGTTTGGTGAGATGCCTCTTAGCTTTGACTCCTTGTCTCTGGTGATAAGGACATCTTCCTCCTGGTAGGGAGAAGGGACATTTCAGGTGGACATTTTTGTCTCCTGCCTTCAGGTAGAAAAAGGGAAATCAGAATGTTCTTCTTGAATCTGCTTTTTTTTTTTTTAAGACACAAAATAATCTTTATGCCAAAGTGGCATATTTGGGGGTGTAATATCCTAAAGTGGCAGATCATCTTTTAAGAATTGATTGATTTTAGAAATAATCATTCCATGTCAACCCCTTGGGGGAAGATAGAGTCAAGCTGAGTAAGCCATCTATTATCAAAACATTTTAGAAATGAGGTTCCTGCTGCTTCCACGAAACCTTTCACTTCTCTCTCTCTCTTTTTTTAACCTATTTACTGATGTAGCTACATAGAGTGTTTTAAAGTAAGTGTGTTTTGTTTTTAATGTTTTTTCATGCCATTAAACTATCTTCAGGATGTTCTGTGTTTGACAGTAGTGAACATAGGTCCTAGCTCAAATATGATTACTCTAAACTGGGGGTTCTCAGCCTTCCTAATGCTGGCCACCCACAGGTTCAGAACCGCTGAAACAAGTCACTTTTCCACTTTAAGGTTGTTACATTAATTGCATTAATAGTTTAATTACTCTCTCTTCCATTCCCCTTAACTTCCTTCCTAGAGTCCTGATTTGTTTTTATTTATTTATTTATTTATTCATTTTTATTTTGCTACTATTCCCTTTTTTTTTTTTTTTAGTGATTCTCATCAATGCTCCTTGACTTTTCCCACTTTGATCTCCTAGTTGGATTTTTTTTTCTTTTTCTTTTTTTTTATTGTTGGGGATTTATTGAGGGTACAAGATGTATCACACACTGAGACCCTACCCCCTCCCTCTCTCTTCCTTTCCCTCACCCCCTCCCTAGTCTCTTTCTGCTCCACCCCCACCTGTCATTATTTGTCATTAATTGTCCTCATATCAAAACTGAATACGTAGGATTCATGCTTCTCCATTCTTATGATGCTTTACTAAGAATAATGTGTTCCACTTCCCTCCAGGTAAATACAAAGGCTGTAAAGCAGCAGTTCTCAACCTGGGGGTCACGACCCCTATGGGGTCCAACGACCCTTTCACAGGGATCTCCTAAATACACCCTGCATATCAGATATTTACATTAAGATTCATAACAGTAGCAAAATTACAGTTAGGAAATATTAACAAAAATAATTTTTTGGTTGGGGGTCACCACAACATGAGGAGCTGTATTAAAGGGTCGCAGCATTAGGAAGATTGAGAATCACTGCTGTAAAGTCTCTATCTTTTTTAATGGCTGAATCTTATTTCATGGTGTACATATACCACATTCTGTTAATCCATTCCTGGGTTGGGGGGCATTTAGGCTGTTTCCACATATTGGCAATTGTAAATTGAGCACACTAAACAGTCTAGTGCAAGTGTCCTTATGATAAAAGGTTTTTTTCCCTTGTGTAGATGCCCAGTAATGGGATTGCAGGATCAAATGGGGTATCTAGCTTGAGTTCTTTGAGGTTTCTCCATTCTTCCTTCCAAAAAGGTTATATTGGTTTACAGTCCCACCAGCAGTATAAAAGTGTTCCTTTCGGACCAGGGCCCATAGCACAGTCGTTATGGTGCCAGCCACATACACCGAGGGTGATGGGTTCGAACCCGACCCTGGCAAAACTGCAACAAAAAATAGCTGGGCGTTGTGACGGGCACCTGTAGTCCCAGCTACTTGAGAGGCTGAGGCAGGAGAATTGCCTAAGCCCAGGAGCTGGAGGTTACTGTGAGCTGTGACGGTACAGCACTCTAACGGGGGTGACAAAGCGAGACTCTGTCTCAAAAAAAAAAAAAAAGTGTTCCTTTCTCTCCACATCTGCGCCAGCATGTGCAGTTTTGAGATTTTGTGATGTGGGCCGTTCTCACTGGGGTTAGATGATATCTCAGGATAGTTTTTTTTTGAGACAGAGCCTCAAGTTATCCCCCTGGGTAGAGTGCTGTGGCATCACAGCTCACAGCAACCTCCAACTCCTGGGCTCAAGCGAGTCTCTTGCCTCTGCCTCCCAAGTAGCTGGGACCACAGGTGCCCGCCACAACACCTGGCTATTTTTTGGTTGCAGCCGTCATTCTTGTTTGGCGGGCCCGGGCTGGATTTGAACCCGCCACCTTAGGTGTATGTGGCTGGCACCTTAGCCACTTGAGCCACAGGTGCCAAGCCCTCAGGATAGTTTTGATTTGCATTTCTCTAATACAGTGGTTCTCAATCTTCCTAATGCCATGACCGTTTAATATAGTTCCTCATGTTGTGGTGACCTCCAACCATAAAATTATTTTTGTTGCTACTTCATAACTGTAATTTTGCTACTGTTGAATCATAATGTAAATATCTGATATGTAGGATGGTCTTAGGTGACCCCTGTGAAAGGGTCGTTTGAGCCCCACAGGGGTCGTGACCCACAGGTTGAGAACTGCTGCTCTAATAATTAAGGATGATGAGCATTTTTTCATGTTTGCTAGCCGTTCATCTGTCTTCTTGAGGGAAGGTTCTGTTCATCTCTCTTCCCCATTGATCTATGGGATGGTTGGCTTTTTTCATGTGGATTAATTTCAGTTCTCTATAGATCCCAGTATTAAGCTTTTGTCTGATTCAAAATAGGCAAATATCTTTTCCCATTGTGCAGGTTATCTATTTGCTTTGGTTGTTGTCTCCTTGGCTGTACAGAAGCTTTTCAGTTTCATTAAGTCCCATTTGTTTATTTTGGTTGTTATTGCAATTGCCATGGCAGTCTTCTTCATAAAGTCTTTCCCCAAGCCTAATTCTTCCGGTGTTTTTCCTATGCTTTCTTTGAAGATTTTTATCTTTTCATGCCGTAAATTTAAGTCCTTTATCCATGTTGAACCAATTTTTGTGAGTGGAGCCAGTCCAGTTTCAGTTTTTTGCATATGGATATCCAGTTCTCCCAGCACCATTTATTGAATAGGGAGTCTTTCCCCCAGTGTATGTTCTTGTTTAGTTTATTGACGATTAGGTGATTGTAAGTTGTTAATTTCATTCCGTGGTTTTCTATTTGATTCTAAATGTCTATGTCTCTATTTTTGTGCCAGTACCATGCTGTCTTGACCACTATGGCCTTGTAGTACAGCCTAAAATCTGGTATGGTGATGCCCCCAGCTTTGTTTTTATTACTAAGAAATGCCTTAGCTATATGGGTTTTTTTCTGGTTTCATACAAAATACGGAATCCTTTTTTCCAGGTCTAGAAAGTACAATGTTAGTATTTTAATAGGGATGGTGTTGAATCAGTAGATTGCTTTGGGAAGTATAGACATTTTAACAATGTTGATTCTTCCCAGCCATGA